ATTTTTTGAATATGAATTGAACTTTTAGGATATAAATTGAACTTTTAGTTTATGTTTAAACTCTTAGGATATGAATTGAATTTAGTTTTTAGGATTTGTTCTTGTGAATTAAACTTTTAGGGTATGGGTTGAACTTTTAGGATATGAATTGAACTTTTAGGATATAAATTAAACTTTTAGTTTATGTCTAAACTCTTAGGATATGAATTGAATTGAGTTTTTAGGATTTGTTCTTGTGAATTAAACTTTTAGGGTATGAGTTGAACTTTTAGGATATGAATTGAAGTTTTTGGATATGAATTGAACTTTTAAAATATAAATTGAACTTTTAGTTTATGTTTAAACTCTTAGGATATGAATTGAATTGAGGTTTTAGGATTTGTTCTTGTGAATTGAACTTTTAGGATATGGGTTAAACTTTTAGGATATGAATTAAACTTTTTGGATATGAATTGAACTTTTAAAATATAAATTGAACTTTTAGTTTATGTTTAAACTCTTAGGATATGAATTGAACTTATAGTTTATAATTAATTATATTTACTATAATTTAATTTTGGTGTAATTAGAAAAAATTAATTATCTTAATTAACTAAAAAATATTTAATTAATTTATAATTGTAGAATAAATTAATTTGTTCTTGTTTTATTTTTATTGATGGAACATCGTACTTGGATGCACAATAGAAATTATCCTAATCGGCGGGGATTGCAGGAGGATTTTGTAGAAGGGGTTGATGACTTTATTAGATATGCAATGTCACTTTCACCATACCAAATTGAAGGAGTAATTAGGTGCCTTTGTGTCATGTGCGATTGTGTGAAGTTTAAAAAATCGGAGGAAGTTAAGCTTTATCTTTATAGGAAGGGGTTTATAAAGAATTACTTTGTGTGGACTAATCATGGAGAGATCGATGGTATCCGTAGAATATTTCATAACATGGCTGTTAGTGAACGTAGTAAGTCGGTGGAGAATACAAATCATGATTCTAGAATTCAATATATGGTTGCGGATGCTTTTGGAATGCACTCCGGGGGTGAGCCCAATGAAAATGTTGAATAAACTCCTAATGATGATGCAAAACATTTTTATGAATAGTTAGAGGAAGCTAGTCATCCACTACGTGATGGAAGTACGCACTCTGAGCTGTCTGTTGCAGTTAGATTACTAAGTATCAAATCTAATTGGAATATTTCTCAAGCAGCCATGGACTCTTTCATTGACCTTATGAGTGAACTAGTTGACCCTAATATCAACTTACCTGGTGATTTCTATAAGGCGAAGAGATTGGTTTCTAAGTTAGGACTTTCGTCAATGAGAATTGATTGTTGTGAAGATGGTTGCATGTTATATTATAAAGATGATGCAAATTTAGAAAGTTGTAAATTCTGCGAAAAGCCTCATTTCAAGAGGCTTTCCAGCGGGAATATGGTCGCTGTGAAGGCAATGCATTATTTACCTCTTATACCTAGGTTAAAGAGGTTATATGCGTCGATGAGTTCTGCTCCTCATATGAGATGGCACTTTGAAATAGAATATCACCTGGTGTTATGTGTCATCCTTCAGATGGAGAAGCTTGGAAGCACTTTGACAGGACATATCCAGATTATGCTAGTGAACCAAGGAACATTTGGTTAGGTTTGTGTGCGGATGGCTTCACACCTTTTTCTATATCTGCCACACCATATTCATGCTGGCCTGTCTTTCTTACACCTTATAATCTACCACCTGAGTTGTGTATGACTAGTCCATATATATTTTTAAATTATATTATCCTCGGTCCACATAATCCGAAAAGTTTGATTGATGTATATTTGTAACCTTTGATTGATGAGCTAAAATAATTGTGGTATGATGGTGTTGAAACATATGATATATCAACCAAGCAGAATTTCAAATTGCGTGCTAATTTAATGTGGACTATTAACGATTTTCCTACGTATGGAATATTGTTTGGGTGGATGACTGCTGGGAAGCTAGCTTGTCCTTACTGCATGAAAAATGGTAAAGCGTTCACTTTGAAATATTACCGAAAGCAATCATGGTTTGATTGTCACCGTCAGTTCTTGCCTGATGATCATGAGTTTAGAAGGATAAAAAATACATTAAAAAAGAATAAAGTGGAATATGATTCGCCACCTCCGATACTTTCAGGTGATGAAATTTGGGAGAGGGTCCAGAACTTCAGTAAAGTTACTAAGGCTCCACCTTATAGATTTTCCGGATAAGGTGTTACTCATAATTGGACGAAACAGAGTATATTTTATAATATTTTTACTAATATATTCATGTGTTTTTATTATTAAATTGCAGGTTCAAGTCGGGTAAGCAGGCTGCGAAGATAATCACCAATGCGATCAAAAAGCTTTATGATGGCCCTTATGCGACTTGGACTGATTTTCCATCCTCGCTGAAGGAGCAAATTTTTAATCAGTTTAAGGTATAAATGTTCTTTTAAGAAGTTTAATAATTTATATTTAAGATGTTTCCATCTAATATTTAACTTTTGAAATGCAGAGCAAGTGTGTATGGGAAGACCGCTATAACGCGGAAGTGGCTGCAAATTTTCATCATAAAGCTCGCAAGAGATTGGCAGATCATTTCTCGGATGGTAGAAAGAAGACCAAGAGGCTTGGCTGGTGTATTGAGCATTTATGGAATGATTTGTTAAGGCAATGGCAGACCGCATATTTCTTAGAGAGGAGCGAAAAAGGAAAGAAAGCTCACTCATCCGAGAAGGGAAGCTCCTTGCTCACTGGGGGTGCTATCAGCTTGGGGACAATAAAAAGAAGATTGGTAATTGCTTAAATAATTTTACTTTTCTAAGTATATCAATTCTATCTATTAACTAAATTAATTTATTTTCAGGAAAAGAAGTATGAGCATCCAACGAGCCATGATGAGCTATTCAAGGAGACGCATATTGTAAAGAAGAAGAAAGAGGGGGATGGAGATAGGTGGGTCGAGGACTAGGTAGAGACTGCATATGGAAGCTTTTAATTTTTTTTAAGTGTTATAATTTACTTTTATAAGAATTTTTAAATACTAATTTAATTTAAAATAATGTAGGGTCACTACCAAAGTAGCGTAGAGAAATTCATTCGTAGTCAGCCAGCTGGTGAATCGGGCGAGCCAACCTAAGCTTCGGACAAGGATGCTGAAAGAATATGGTTGGAGGCTGTTGGCGGTCCATAATGGGGGAAGGTATACAGGCTTCCTACAAAAGAATTCCATCGATATAGGTGTGGAATGCAAGGAATAGAGACTTCCTCACAAGGTGAGGAACTTAATAGGGAGAGCCTCTAGGCTATGCGGGAGACAGTGTCAAAGCTTACATCCGAGCTAGAAGCGGCCAAGGAAAGAGAAAGGCTTAGAGATGCTCAATTCCTTGGTAAGGAAAGCTTTTCCGTTGCCCCGGTCTCGTGAATGATCGCTAGAGGCTCGACCTCCATGTGATCATTCCTCCCGTCCTCCTCGTGATCGTTCCTCCCGTCCTCCCCATGATCGTTCTTCCCGTCCTCCACAAGACCGTTCTCTGTACCGTCTTGTAGATGAAAGTTCATCAGATGGTGATGATGTTGTAGAAAATACCCCTTGACCAATACTTTAATATACTTTAAACTAGACTAATAGAACTAGTTTTGAATTAGATTAAACAATTTTGAACTTGTTGTAATTAGTTTTTGCTTGATTTTGGATTGTGATGTTCAATTGAACTTTATTTTGTTAGTTTTAAAGTATTAACTGGATGTTTGGTTGTTGTTGTTGGATATTTGATTGGATTTGTGGTGAATTAGGGGTTGTATGTGGCGAATTGGTGATTATTAGACGTGAATTGGGGGTATTGGTATGCTGTTTTTATTTGGCAGGTGGTGTAGCTACCAAAACAAGCATTTTCTGCCAAAATTAAACCCAGAAAACCGACCAACTTTGTTCGGTAAATAATAATAAAAAAATTAAATTGCACATTACAGACCAATGTTGGTCGGTTAATGTACAATGAATTCCCATAATTCAACATTACCAACCAAGTTTGGTCGGTTTTCTGCCTGCACTGTCCAGTTTACCAACCAAAGTTGGTCGGTATTTTTAAATTTTAATTATTTTAAAAAAATATATTTTTCCAGTACCGACCAAAGTTGATCGGTTTTTTTTAAATTTTAGTAATTTATATAAAAAAATATATTTTCCAATACTGACCACAGTTGGTCGGTAGGAAAAATTAATAAATTTAATACACCGACCAAGTTTGGTCGGTAAAATTAAATTATTAAAATAATATTCTAACCAATTTTGGTCGATAAGTCAATTACATTGTCAGATGATCGTGTAGAGCATACCGACCAATAATGGTCGGTAATTTCCGACCAACTTTGGTGGGTATGCTCTTCCCACCTTTAAAATACCGTCCACACGTAAATGGTCGCGTTTTAGACGGTTATTGGCTATTACTGACCAACTTTAGTTGATTTTTTTAGACGATTTTGCCCGAATTTCTAGTAGTGAAAAAGAAAAAGAAAAAAAAGGAATACAGAAAACAGACGAGAAGAGGAAAAGGGAAATCTAAGCCCTCATGCATCTACCAGCCAAAAGAAGAAGTGTAAATAAGTTGAAAGTATAATTTGATCTGTTATAACAGATTATCTGCTATATTTTCGAACTTATCATATCATGTTTGTTATAAGTTATAAGCAGTTCTTATTACAGGCAACTTAATCAGCATGATGGCATAAAATTAATAATTCAAAAGAGAATAATATACGACATCAGTGCACCAAAAATAAATTCAAAAGAGAATAATATACTCCATCCGTTTTAATTTGTTCGAACGTTTTTCAAAGTAGGAGAGTCAAATCGACTAATTTTTGGTGTAAATACGGACTAGATTCTTTAAGGTTTAAAAAATAAAATTTACATATTTAGAAACATCATAAAAGATAGTATAAGTCACAATAATTAATAATTCAAAATATATAAAGCTATTTGCCAAAATAAAAGGTCAAAGAAAATCTTTTTTAAACTAAAGGAGTAGTAAATTATATGACAAAAAGCAGGTACGAATTCATAATTGGAAAAAAGAAAAATTTCCACCTATTAATATACAAACTTCCGATTTTGAGCCAAAAAACACAACTATGGCTCATCCAACTTAATGTGGAAACAAAACAGCAAAAAGAAAAAAAAGATACAAAGTTTTTGGACGCTGTTTTTTTTTTTACAGTAAATCATCAAAATCTAAACTCTCTGGAATTTCAAACCTCATGAAATTACTGCAATAACTCTCTTTCTCTTCTTCAATGCCCGACGACAAAGGTGTATCAAAGCTAAAATTCTGACTATTCGGATTGCTGCTGCTGTTTAGGGACCGAAACGTTGAATTTTCAGATGCATCAGACGCAGAATAATTACTATAGTATTGTAGAGGTAGCATCATATTTTCTTGGAATATTGGGCCATTCATGGACTGATGAGAAGAAGAACATGAAACATTTGGGGTGCAATTTGGAATTTCAGGAACTTGGTTGTGGAGTTGATTATTATATTGGAAGATAGAGGTCTGATTATTTAGAATATTTGGCCCTTGAGAGTTTTGAAGTTGTCCATTCAATAACTGGTTTTCTTGAATTTTTTGTAATAACAATTCTGGATTTTCAGTTTGGGATACTAAAAGGGAATTTGCAAGTTTTAATATTTCAGGGTTTACGAGTGCTTGTAATCCAAGTAAGCTGGAAAAATTAAGCTGAGTTGAGTTGAGAAGTGATGATAAATCTAAGAAATCAAGACGAGGTCTGTGTGTTACTGGATCAATGCCCATTCTCAAAAGCCTTTTTCTAATGTGTGTATTCCAGTAATTTTTGATTTCATTATCTGTTCTTCCTGGCAAACGAGCCGCTATTGCTGACCACCTAAAATAAACATAGGTATAAACATATTAGATTTAATTTAGGGTCAAGAAGGTTAAAGCATAATTATGTAAATAACAATATGCTATCTCTAACAGTTTATTTATTTTTAAATGAGGTGGTAGCCTAATTCAACATAATACTAGAACAAACATAGTCCTTGAGCCGAGGGTCTACCGGAAATAATCTCTCTAACTTCATACAAGCTAGGGGTATAAGGTCTTCGAATATACTACCCTTCACAGACCCACTTGTAAAAATATACTGGATATGTTGTTATTGTTGTTGTACTGACAGATAGTGGGTTTAAGTCTTAACGTCACATATTATGAAAAAGAAATTTTTATGTGCTTGGCCATGAATAATCATGTCCGTATGTAAGAGACATGTTAAAACGTGATAATTAGGTAAATAAAAGTGTACTCTCTCAGTAACAGCTGATCGCGTTGAAAACTTAATCAGGCAAATAAAAGTGATGTACTCTCGTTGACACGTTAAAATTTTAGATGAAAGTGTGGTAAAGATCTTTGAATAAATAACGTATAAGGAGAAACTAATGATGAAAGATTGAAAGAAAAAGTATAATAGATATGATCGTACTTGTTGCCAAAAACACTGTGAAGTTGGATAATAGTTTCTTCTTCTTCAAAGGAGAATCTTCCTCTCCTAATATCAGGTCTCAAATAATTAGTCCATCGAAGACGACAACTCTTGCCACACCTTTGTAGTCCTGCAAATAATTTTTGATTGAAATATTAGAACACATATATATTATTCGTAAGGATATATATATATGGTTTATCTTCATGTCAGGTGCGGTTTATTTGAATCCATAATTTTCGACACGATATAAAAACCTATTGAAATGTCAACATTTATTATATCTGAACCCATAATTTTAACAGTATAATAAGCTTAATTCTGAAAATTTTAAAAGTTGTACTCAAAAAATTTAAGTCTTGAATCCGCCTCCGTTTCATATCATATAAATTAAAAGGTGGATATATGAATTATTTACCAGCATTCTTGGGGAGATTTCTCCAGTTTCCAGGGCCATGAACTTGAATATACTCAATGAGTTTTTGATCTTCCTCTGGAGTCCATGGACCTTTCTTCAGTCCATTTTTATCACAACATGGTGTTCTTCCCATATGTTTTCTTTTTCTTCTGCTTTTTACGAATATATATTGATGTAGAAGATTGTAAGGGTTTGAAGAAAACAAAAGGAGTTGTAGTGCTAAGGAAGAGAAGAGGGAAATTTTGGAAAACCAAAGTGAACTTGTAGGTCCTTATGGAATATGAGCCATATTTATAAAAGGAAAAAAATAGAAGAGAAATAAGTGCTTAAGAGAAGAGGAGTCTTAGGAGCAGTAAAATGATTTCTGTGCGACCTATAGGCAGAGCTAGCATCTCCGTTACGGGTTTGGCAAACTCAGTAACTTTTATCTGTACATTATATTTGTCTAAAAAAATTCATTAAAAATGTAGAAATTATTAATCTAGAACTGCGTAAATTAAAAAGACAAATCATTAGCTTCAAATCCTAACTCCACCTCTGGGTTACAGGTACAAGCCGTAAAATCAACCACTGATACTTTCATCAGGGTAAGTTACCTACATAATACCATGTGCAGTTCTCTGTACCCTGCGTGAATACAAAATGATTCGTGTACCGAAATGCCCTTAATTAAATAAGTGCTTAAAATAGATTGAAATCAATAGTATTCGGCGTCGGCCTCATTTTACGTCATGACTGAGGTGAATTGTTTAAAAGATGTATATTCAAGTTATTGTGTACAATGTTTTTACATTATCGTTGTAGTTTAACCAGTTACTATATTAGCTTAGATACTATTTTTATTAGATTATTACTTAATGTTTATCAGAGAAATTTACTTGCATTTACCTTAAATACCTAATCCATTAAATATCTTTTACGTATGTCACAAAGTTCATAGAATTTTCCAATCAGGTTAACTATAAATAATTGCAACATGTAATAGTCATAATAAATAGGATTAGTAACCTAAAGGATAAAATAGTGTGATACAAAATTTCTTACACTGAATATATAAGTTAAATACTTTGTCCATATCAAAAGGGAAATTTTTGACAATTTCATTTTTTTCAACAGTAGAAGTTTTCGGATATTATCAGAAAAAAAGAAATGTGATAACTTTGGGAGAATTGTTAGGGACAAGTGGTCGCTAACTAATGGTTTTGACCTTTGCACCTAAGTCTTCAAAGAATGACTGATTAGTCGGTATGGTTGGTAGATTTCCCCTACCAATTATGAGGACAAGATTTCATGTTTATATTTGTGGAGTGCGCGCTTCTTTCTAATGAAAATAGCCTTTTTGAATTTATATTTCTGTATCATATATATATATATATATATATATATATATATATATAATCGTGAACCCAATAACTAAAATAAATTATAGATTCGATGACTATTTTAAAATTCATAAACATTAAATCCCGACTCCGTATTTTGTATACTCTCAAGAGATCTCATCTATTACGTTGGCTATCATCAGCATTCCGACTTGTCACTTTTTGAAGCTTGGGACCAAATCTTGGAGACCAAGTTTTTATATGACTTAGTGAAATAATATACTCCCATACTATAGTAATAACTATAGTCCGTAAGGACCTTGACATACATGTCTCCTTTCAAGGAAACCACTGTACATATGCTAATTAGAGAAACAAGTGCTAAAATGTGAGAATAAATATAACTAAGTATAGACGTAAGATTAGACAAGCGTCGCGTATTTTGGTTTTTATTGAAGCGTCATATAAATTGTTTTAAGGCCCATTCACGAAAGAAAAAAATCGGAAAGAGGTAAATTTGATTTATGTGACCATCTAATCAGTAGGGATAATGGCACCGAAAATAATATTATTTTCGTAAAAACCCTCAAACAGTTTCAGAAATATCATCACTGTCCATTGGAGGAGCTGAAATGAAGATAATAATAGATACTCCTATCAAAGTTGCCAATGTATTTTAACTTTTTGAAAGAGATTCGCATAATTTAGCACTTGAAACGTAGCACAGTACTCATTTGTGTCGATTAGCAAAAATCGTTTCCACTGTTGCATCTTTCTTGATAAAGAGACTTTCACGATCTTCTCTTTTTGGTGGGGGTTAACTCACTCGGTCTCCGATATTCAAATTGGAACTTGATTATATTCGGATTCATGCCATGTAAGGTTCAGAGCTCGAACGCGAGATCTTTGGTTAAGGGCGAAAGATCTTATCCATCCCACCATAACCCATATTAGTAATTATTATTTTTTCATGATCTTCGTCAATCGTCCTTATAACTTTAAATTTTCATTTTATAGAAAACACGTGTTTATGTGTACAAGACGCAACTTTCCACATTGGGACAATTGGAGGTCATGAGTCAAGATATCCAATACCATACACGTATAACCTATAGGGTACAAATGTTAATTATAAATTCTATTCAATGATAAAATTAACAAAAAAAAAGGCTCCTTATTTGGTCTCTCATGGCCTCACTCCTATTGTCAGCAGTCTAAAATTGCTGATTAAAGTTTAATCAGATCCACAACCACATATTACACATGGCCCCAACGTGGACAGTTTTTGTTATCGACATTTGCTTTTCTCGCACCATACATATTTTGAAATTTCTCAAGGTTCAACGTCATTTTCCTTTCCACCTATATATTGTTTGTGTAACTCTTGTCGAATGCTTTTGGTATATGTGTTCTCATTTAGTACTAACATGAGATCAGTAGCTACGAAAATGATTATTAATTTGTTGTTAAATTGTAACATGATTTTTGATAATATTCGCTAATGTTGTTTAGCGACGAAGTGCATCCAACACTAATTCCTATTTTTATGTAGTGTACAAACCTATTTTTAAAAATCCTCTAGCTAATTTACGTGCGATAGTGCATCTCTTGGACTTGGAAGGTTTTAGAAGGAGTGTCACATTTTTTAAATGAAAGGCCGATAGGATTTGACAGTAGTTTTCATTCAAAAGTGCATATCTAATGTGATATATGCAGCATTATAATTAATGAACATAAACTAAGAGTCATATCATATTGCACAAATAGAGAGAAAAATTGGTACAACCTAATTAGTATACATAAAATAAAATGAGTTAAAATGTCATGCGATTGTATTCAGCCTCTCAATACAAGCTTTGGCCTCACTCTGATCTATATATTACAGCCTAAAATTCAAAGTTGCTGAACTTCTGGTATTTGATTCGTCCACCCTTATAGATAACGAAAGAGATTTTGTCAAATGGTTTTTTGTTCCCTCTTTACTGACATTAATACTTAACATAGCTCCAAGGTCAAACAACTCCTCTCTTAGATGAAACACAATATATTTATCTCCATTTTGTTACTATATGACTTGGCTGTAATTACGCAATCTGTTATCTGCTTGAGTTTAACTTCAATGTATATATATATATTGTTGATAGAAGAATTTGTTGACTATTAGATCACCTAAAGATAACTTCATATTCTCTTCCCTGCTGGTGTCCACGAGACAACTCAATCTCATCAACTGCTAAAACAATTTATTATAACTACTTGAGAAAATAACTTTCGATGCGTAGCATAAAGTTATGTGTAAAATCTACTAAAATTGCAATAAATAATAGATTTGGACCCATAGCTTTAAAAATATAATGAGTTCAATGCTAAAAATCTTAAAAGCTGAACTCATAAAGTTTAAATTTTGGATCCGCCTCTACTAACTAGCTAGACTAGATGAGGACAATTTCCCGATCAACACTTGCCACTTATCTGCATTAATTTGACTGGTCGATATAAAAAATTACTACAAGTTTGATAGAGAAAATACCCCTCTTGTTATTGTTAAACTTGTTGCATGTCCATTAATAAGTTATGGCATGTATTAAGTGATTATAATAATGTGTTATTAGGGTAAAATAAGAAGTTTGAAGTCAAAAATTTTTAATTATAAAACGAAATAAGTACACTAATTCCAATAATAGTTGTCACAAATATAGGGCTTGCTTGTGAGGAATTACTTGCGCTAAATTGCCACCGCGTCATAAGAGTTGACTCCTCTCGTCACAAACGAAAAGAAATAACCATAATTAATCTTGATTATTATGTGAATGTCGTTAGGTTATTGTTGTGAGGTGTTCAATAGCCTTCAACAAACTTTGAATTATAAAGCTTCTTGTTTTCTTCGTTATCTCCAAACTAAATATTTAACAGGGGGAGATCACAATTTTTTATATTTGTGTGAAACAGATAATACCGAATCCGAATCAAATGGATGCTGTTGCATCACTCTGTGTGATCCATGCATATTTGTTTAATGCCATGTCTCCAAATATCACTATAACAAAATTTAGGGATCAATTATAATATCAAAAAAGACGTTTGATTCATAAAGCATTTCGTGTTCACGTAGTGATCGATGAGTTGCCATATCAAAGGGATGTGATGTAAGCAGTACCCTATTATAATGCGAAGTGTTAGTGGCTATATTCATGACTCAAACCAGTAATCTATCGGTTAAACTGAGAAAACTTTATCGTTGCTCCAAGCTCCTATTAATATCGGTCAGAATATTATTACTTAAAAAGAATACTAGAGTATTACTGCTGAAATTTCTAAATACGTACGTGGTTACGCTCCATGCAAATGCTTGTACGATATATGCGTTGTGATTCAGTGTATTTACCCAGATGTTTCTGGATTGATGTTCAATTTGGTAAACAATGTAATCACCCCAATATAAAATCTTTTAGACAATGAGGGATAGCCAATATTTTTATTGACGAACACAAAACACAACACGATAAATAAAGAGGCGGAAAATAGAATAAGAGATCTTCTAAGTAACCATATTATCTATTATAACATGAGTGAAATCTTCAATTATTTTGATTACAATAAAGTAATTAAACTATGTATTAATTACTCATAAAAGATAAACTCTGAAAGGCTATCAAATTTTCATTCATTAGCTTTGTAACCAATGGGAAGCCAGTAATTTTTCCAAGGGTGTTCAATATATGTTATAAATCTCTAAAACCTAATATTTTATCTATATATACAATATAATTTTTCGACAAATAATGATCAATTGACCACCCTTAAGATAATGTAGCTTCGCCCTGTTTGTCACTCGCTATAAATTTCATATCAAAATAAACAAAAATCACGTTAGCTTTGTCACTCTATAAATTTCATAACAGAAAATAAACAAGAATCATCGTGTAA